TCCAATCGTGTCAACTGGTAACTATTGGGTGTGGTGGTTTCATGAAGAATTCAGTTATGTTTGAAGATCTTTGTCAACAAATATTGATCACACATTCTTTATTCAAAAATACCACTATTTTCACCTCTTGGATAAAACTCAGTGTCCGAGTCGAAGTAGACATTTTCGCCACTCGGCAAAAATGTACCCAGACGCAATTTGCGTTTTTCGCGATGTTTCTTCACTGCAACGGCACGTTTGGCTTTCTTCTTTTCGCTGGAAGATATGAGCCCATTCAAGTACCGGTTGCGCTCATAGCTGTCATCAACTCGCAAGGGAGAAAAGCGAACGTGACAATTAGTGAGAGCAACACAACATCGAAGAAAATTTTCTGAAATGGATGGCCTGAGGAGCCTCTCTGTGTCGTTTTGGCGCCAAAATTGGCATAAAGTTTGGGGGAGTTTGAGGCTGAATTTTCGACATACAAAGTTATATTTATCAGTTTTGAGAAATATTTCCTTCAAGGAGTTTCATTGTGATGACACCTTACTTCGCTGATGTGCACAATGTTCGACGAATGCAATGTTGTCCAATCGGAAATGATTGAGTGATTTCCTAATTCACTCACACTTCTTTTAATGATTGGTTATACATGATGTTACATCCTCCTATATTCAGTGGTGAGAACTTCTCTAATGCCTGTGTTTTTTACGTTTGACTGCATCACATCCTTTTGACAAAATCAATGACAATATTGCTTCGTCAAATTGTAAAACATTCGAAGTTTGGTGAAGAACTAAGTCTCAAGGTTCGTGGTCTAGTGGTGAGATATTCACCAAAACATCTGTTTCTTACCAAACATACTATGATTGATATTTCACGGAGTGACTTCCAATTGTGTTTTGGCAAATTGTAAATTGGCCCATCCTTGATCAAAAACTCAGTCACTGGCTTAGAGGTCTATTGAGCAAAAGATGACAGTACTCAGATGACCTTGAAACTCATGGCTTTTTACAATTGATATACTTTATATTTCGATACTTGTAGAGAAGTGCTTGGTTCATAAATATGAGGTTCGGAAATGAATTATCTGTCAGAATTTGATTATTCTCTTCTGCGATGGCTACAAAACGCATTCCTGTCATTTTACAGGTAAAACTCGTCGACGAAGATGAAACCTTTCAGCATTTTGTAATATTCATTACAAAAATTAAATGTCATTGTCTCATAGTAATAGCAAGTAAAATACAAGTGCCTAACTTTTCCAAGAATATAATTAACCATCAACCACCCATGTTCAAATTTCATGGACGACTTGGCCATCAAACGACTCAATGATGGAGACATCCAGCTCGACACAGGTATCATGAATGAACATGTTTCTCTTGCATGATTTAGCTTAGCGCGATTTCCGCACGTGGCAGTTCAGCTTGGACAACAGCAAGTTTAACTTGGCAGCGTGAGTTCAACACAGCCAGCTACTACGACATCGTATCCCTCTCACATTTTATAAGTTGTGCTGCTATTAATTATTGTAGGATTCACGAAGGACTCACTGATCGCACCCCAGATTGAACTGCTTTTCCATTTAAAAGGGAACAGACTATTAGACCTCTTGTTCAATGACTTAGTTTCAAGTCAGAACGTGGAAAGTGATCATCGATTGAAGGATTGACAAAAATTAATGTATTTGTTCATGTAATATAGAAATATTTATGCGATTGAATGAAATCGTTGTCGATTGTCAAACTGATTATTTGGTCTTTCACAAAAAGCATATGTTTTTCATCGATACGGTAGGTTTGTTTTGAGTGATTTTACATGAACATCACCGGAGTACGGAACATTTGAAGTATCATCGGCCCACCAAACGATGTACTTTTGGGGATAGGTATTTGCATCAGTTGATGTAG